AGAGTGGAACTATTAATCAGAGATGATTTTTCTCTCATGGAGAGGTAGGCTTTTGCTACTTTTTTGGCCTTGTTAGTGAAAGTAGTAAGAAAAATGTACGTTTAGTTTCAGGGTTATAGTGGGGATTGAAAATATTCCTCAGAAGGCATCGTTGGATTTTGTCAGGATGTGTTCAGAACTACCATTTGTATTTAATTAATGGATCAGTTTATGAAATTTAATCACTGGTTTACTTTTTTCCCCCACAACAAATATAGAGATCCTACAATCAGTTTCAAATTTGAAGCACTAACTTCAGTTATTTTTTTAATTTTGAGGGTAAACCTTACACTAGAAATGTGTTTAGGCTAAGTTTAGGGCTGTGGTATAAATACAGGATAGACTGAATACGGTCCACTCTCTAAAATCACAACCAAATCTTACCCTTTTTAATATAACCTTCCTGTGGTAATGAAGCAATTCTGGTCCAGAAAGGGAAATCAGCTAAGCAAAGAATCATGCAGGTGGGACCTTCCCAGTGCCCTTTGTTTCACAAAGCTCATTATAGGCCCATGTTTCATGCCCTTTCCAAACAGAAAAGAAAGCTGGACATGATTCTCTGACTAACTTCAAACTCCATGAGCAAGAGAGCCTGGGAATGGAATTACAGGGCACTGCTAACCAGAGGTAGCCTTGGCAAAGGTCTTCCCTTGCATCAATTCAACCTAGAACTCTGGCCGTATCACGTGCTGGATCATTCCGTGGAGACAGGAAGCAAGGAAGACCATGAACTTCTATTTGGGGGCAAACATACTGCTTCAATGGGAAATACTATCTAAATGCAACCAACCAAACACAACAAAAAACCCTGACTTCTTTTTGTGTTTACCATTTCTCTTCACGCAAAGCACACATTATCTAAACACACACACACAACACACACACAATGTTAATTAGATTTTCATTACCTTAACATTTGTGTTCTAGGAAAACAACTGGAGGGGATGTTGGAGATTACCTGCCCAAAATTACCAACAATACAAACAACAGGTGTGGCATTTGGCATCTTCCCAGGGCCCTACCCTCAAGAAACGTTTTCCTTTGTTAAGGCACCCAATATCAATGCAATTGACACAAGTTAAGACAGAAACTACCTAATGGTCTTTTTCTCCTTAAGTTTATTTTCTCCTTTGAGTCCTCAAAATGTCAGTCTAGAATTCAATCCCCACGCAGAATGCTGTGGTCTTCAGGACAAACAATGCCAAACTCCTTAGCTTCAGGAAACACAAAGTGAATGGTTTTCTTTTCTCACAAGGCGTCATACATTTATAGATTATTATCAATGATCTTACAATTATGATTGTTTCACTAGGAAAAAACATAACATGAAGTGTTTAGAGGCAACCCAGGCATTTTAAAAAAATGTGTATTTGCTAATTCCAAACAGTAAGTTAAATGTGTGAAGCTTTCATGGTTTCACCTACTACTTTTACCTACTACTTTACTCATATCTGAGACCAAACATTGAATCTCGGAATTTTCACTGTTGAAGTTGAGGCAAGTAAGTGATAAATAAATAAGGTAATACAGAGCAAAAACATACACCTCAGGAATGAAACAAAAGTAATGTGAATTAAAGTTGGTACCAATCATTATCAAGGATAAATTTCCACATTTCCTTGTGCCTGTTTGTCCCTATCACTGTCTGATTTTGTCGCCTCTCCTTCCCTGTCCCTTTCACTCTATGTCTCTGGTTCTAGAAATTTGATTTGGGTCACGGGTGTCTTAATGGCCATGCATAAATAAGAACTCTTTTGAATAATTTTATACAAGACTAATCGAATTGTAGGTGCTCTGGAAAATATAAAAGAAGTAAACATTCTTGCTTTCAGGAAATTTACATTACAGTCTGACAGATAAGATTAGCAAATCTGGTGCAGCAAACTAAAATACAGTATTTTTCAAAGGGCTTGGATTAGTTATCTATTGCAAAGTGACAAATTACCCCAGAAGTAGCAGCCTGAAACCATAAACATTTACTACCTTACAGGTTCAGAAGTCTGAAATTCAAGAGCATTTTAGCTGAGTAGTCAGTGGCTCTCACAAGTCCGCATTCAAAATGTCAGCCAGGACTGGCCAACTGAAGGCTTGATGGGCCCCGAGGGGATGATGCATTTTGTCAAATGCTTCTTCTGTACCTACTGAGGTGATCATAGGATTTATATCCTTCATGTTGTAAATGCAGTTTATCTTATTGACCAATTTGCTTATGCTAAACCATCTTTGCATTCCTGAACTGAATTTCACTTGATCATGGTGTGTGATCATTTTAATGTATTGTTGAATTGAATCATCAGGGATATTAGCCTATCATTTTCTTTTCTTATGGTGCCCTTGTCTGATTTTGGTATCAGAGTGATGCTAGTCTCATAAAATGAGTTTGAAAGAACCTCCTCCTCTTCTAATTTTTTGGAAGAATTTGAGAAGACCTGGTATTAATTCTTCTCTGTATATTTGGAAGAATTCACCAATGAAATTTTCTGGTCCTAGATGTTTGTGTGTAGGGAGCTTTTTGATTACTGACTGAATCTTCTTGATAGTAATTGGTCTCTTTAGATTTTTTTATTTCTCCATGATTCAGTTTTGGTAGCCTGTATATTTCTAGGATATTCATACATTTCTTCTAAGTTATCTGATTTACTGGCATATAGTTGTTCATAATAGTCTCTTATGGTCCTTTGTATTTCTGTGGTATCATTTGAGTATCTCCTCTTTCATTTCCGGTTTTATATTACCTTTTTTTTGGTGAGTTTACCTAAAACTTTGCCAATTTTGTTATTCTTTTCAAAGAAGCATCTCTTAATTTCATCGATTGTTTCTATTGCCTTTTTAGTCTCTAAGTTATCTCCATTCTGGTCTATTTTATTTCCTTGCTTCTACTAACTCCAGGGCTTCATTTGTTCTCCTTCTTCTAGTTTCTTCAGGTGTAAAATTAGGTTGTTTATTGGATACTTTTCTTGTCTCTGGAGGTAAGCATTTATCACCATTTATCATTAAACTTCCTCTTTAGAACTGCTGTCACTGCATCTCACAAATTTTGGTGTGTTAGACGTTCCCTTTGTGGTCATTTTAAATAGTTACACTGCTGTACTCAAAACATTGAATTGGGGCATCTTGGGAAATTTGCCTTTTATTTAATAAAAGACTGTCTTTTTTTCTATATTTATCATTTCCATGTTGCATTTAACTTGTGTCTATATGTTTTGCATTTCTGTGAAGTGGAAATTAAATCTAAAGCTGTGATTAGGTATTAATCAAACATTTTTACAAGAATACTTCATAGGATATACCTTCATATTGTATAACATCAGAAACACACAATGACTGGTTTTCCTATTATTATTTTAGGAATGTTTGAATACTGAGCCTACAGTGTACATCACAAGCTGTTCTGGGTGTGAAGAATAGAGAGAATAAAGCAGGCAAAGCTCTTGTTCTCATGAAATTCTCAATCAAGTCGGAGGAGTCAAAATACGCAAACAAGGTGACTTTAAATATTGACAAATGATTAAAGATCAGAGACTATGATGACAAATGTGATAGTTTTGCAACAAGTATGTTTATGTGATTATAATTTTAATTAAACGTACAGCTTGTTACAAAATTTGTTATGCAAACTGCATATAAATATTATATAAGCAATATGACGACATTTTCAAGCAGCAAACAATAAACGTTCAAACATTTAAGCTAAAATTTCCTGAATTTTCAAGTATCAGATAAAGAAAATATTAAAAATAATGAGTGGGTATTGTCATGCAGTTTATATTAAATTCTGTAATCAAGTTCTCTTATAAATTTATGATGTATAGAAAAATTATATTTGCTTTGAAATGTAGATGCTGAAAGCTTATGAGAAAGTAATCAATGTGTCATAGTTATTCACTCCTGTTCTTCTAAGTTTTAATTTTATGTCCTCTTTGATTTAAATGCAGTTTATAGTTTATTTTAATTTGGAGAATAATTTTACAGCTCATGAATTACTTGAATCTCTGCATTTTTGAAAGATAAACTTTTCTATGTAAAGCAAGTTGGCTTTAGAATCTTTTAATTATGACTGAATACCACTGATTAAGTGTGAATCACGTGGTAGGAGGACTGGGGATGAAACAGGAATCTGGGGTATATCATTTCCCTGAGTCTAGTTGTGGCCTCAGAAAAGTACGAGAGTAAGATATGGTTGAGGCATCAGAAATTACAGGAACTTCTTTTTCTCTTTCTTGAGCTGTATGGGTTCCTCTTCCCTGTGAACCTGCTTTATTACATCCTCCCAATCTAGACATTTTTTTTCCTGCGGGTCAACTAAAGAAAATTTACTTGAGAATTTTATTATGAGAATTTGTCGTATTGGCTGCTTTAATCTTCATCTCCTCATGTTCTGCTCCAATCCACTAAAACAGAAATGCTCCTTCCAAGCTTTGGTGACTTGCAGAGCTTTCTTTGTGCTTATTGAAGTGGGAGGGGTAGAAGCCTGTGAAGAAGTCCTGAAAACCAGAACACTTTACATATGAATGGTAGAGCAGAGGAAAGAATTAATAATGCAGTGCCAGCCGGGGCACAGAGCCATTTTGGAAAATGATGGAGGGCAAAGGAGGACTGATTTGAGCTACAGACACAGCGAGTATCTTTTTGGGGAGAGAGGATGAAAGTAAGATTATTAGGAAGTCTCTAAACTTTTCATGCAGCAAAAACCTTCCTTTGTCAAGACCCAAAAAGAGCCTGTATCAAAGTGTTAACGTTGCTTTTCTTTGCTTCTGGGATTAGATTTGCAGGTTTTTTATTTTCATTTTTATTTTACATTTTGTACTTTAGAGTGATACCATGCTGAATCTAGTCTCAAACTGGCATTGCTTTATTCAGGTAATATTTGCTTCCCTCTGCAAATGACAAAAAATGCTATGTCTTGCTAGTTTAATCATACAAAATTTAGTAACAGAAGTCTTTTTTTTTTGTAGTCCAGACAGATTGGCCAAGTTTTGCTACTTAACTTTTCTTAGCATAATTACCTGTTATTGGTGCTGGGGGAAAGAGAGTTTGGTGCAAAGGACAGAGGTAGGAAGATTTATTAATATAATATTCTTCTTCTTTAGGTGGGTGAGGGCTTCTGTGATACCCCTATAAATCATGATTTTCTAAACTGCATCATATTGTTTCATTAGGTATTATTTCCCATCACTTAACCAAAATTCTTTATTATCTATAAAATAAATGCTATAAATCATTACTATCAGCCTTATGATTGCTTTTACACATAATGCTTGATAACTTACTATTCTTTTTGCATCTAGTTGCTTCTCTCCATTATGCCACAGTGTCTAGATATTAGAATATCATTTTTATATTCCTTTCATCTGCATACTTTCCAAAATGGACCAAACTAAACCTTCACCCCAGGATGGATTCTCCCTCTGTCTCAGACACATCGTACTTTAGAATTTACAGTTTCCAGCTCAACCTCACAGTTTTCAAAGATTTCTACATACCAAAAAATAAAAATAAAAATCAAGTTAAAGTGTGTGTGTGGTATTTTAATTAGAAGAGATCTCTGTGTAATCTAAGCCAGCCTCTTTGGTTTTTCCTATAAAGCAGTGTTAGACTAGTGTTTAACAGACCAAGATTCCATTAAAGAGTTCGGATGAGAATGGAAGTTTTCTGATTGCTCGGTAGTCATATCAGAAACACACTCATCAATAACCCCAGTGCCCTCTTCTCATCCTCAGCTCACAGTAAGTAGCTCATGTATTTATTGCTTAAACGTGGTGGCGGCAGGGTGGGAGTGGGGGGTAAAATTAACTCAGGGCAACTGCATAAGATACCTCATTCTTGTATTTCTATGTTTAGATGACAGATATCAAGAAAAGCAGACTACATTTCAAAATACCACCTGTCCTCTTGGCAGGGAAGAAAACCTCATTGAAAAGTCAAGATCTTGACATCATAAAAGACCAAAATTAGAAAAGAATGAAGTAGAAGAGTTTTTGAATAAGAAACAAAATGTCTAGACCAACAAAGAATGAAATGGCATAAACCATAAAAATATCAAAAGATGACAATAATTAAAAAAAATAAACAATTCTAACTGAAATCATTTAAACGCTCCAGAAAATGACAATAAACTTGGACAAAATGGATACAATAATTGGGACATCTACCAATGACATCCACATGCTGTTTATTAAAAGTTGTGTAATAAAAGCTCAGTAGAGATTATAATCCATAGAAAAGGCTCAAATTTACAGGCCATTTACTCGCACACAAAGATCCTCTTAATGAAAACCTGTAAAACATAGGGTGGTGGTGATTTGTCTCATATTTTACAATGGTTTATATGATGAAGGCCCCTGCTGACTTCATTTTCTTTTAAACCCTCCTATCGACATATTTACACTTGCATGTTACATATATCTTTACTGCTGCTCTCCCCACTTCAATTCTATTTTTTTCCACGTCAGAATAGACTTGAATAAAACCGTGCACTTTTCAGAGTGTAGCAAGCTGTTAGAAAATACTGCAAAGCAGAGCTAAGGCAGAATTTCCTATGAATTACATCATCACTGCTGCAGTGGAGAGCTAAATGGAGTGCTTGCCCATATCCTGCGTGTCTGAGGAATAGGAACCTCTAACCCACCTGCCGATGAAGTGGAAGGCACGGAAAATGCATATTAAAATAATGTATTTCATAAGGGTAGTTATTTAGAAGTACCCACATCCCACACCTATTTATTGTAATGTGGAAATAATTCCTGCCATAGGTATAAATGTCTACACATGCCCTGTAATGTGCAGTCTATGAATTCAAAGCAGGTATTGCCAAAAGGATGGAGTGTTTTTAAACGCAGAGTGAAACATAACGTTGCTTTCTTCCTGGTTTTTCATAGTACAACTGCTTGAGGTAATACAAAGCATCCTTTTATTTTCTAATCACACTGCGAGGAGAGCAGTCTCCTAACTCCGGAGTTTGACTTCTCCTCCCAGAGTGGGCCACGCTGTGACCCGTGTCCGGGATGGGACTGCCTTCACGAAGGGGCTGACATCCTGCAACTATATATGAATCTTCAACTGCTGCTTTCTTTTCGACCTATTCCTCCCATAATGGGATTCAGTGCTTTCCCAAGCAACCCTTGTAATGTTCAGCAAGGTCCTTTAGCTCACGTTGTGAAACACTTGTTCATGCCCAATTTGTCTGAGCCGGGCCATGTTGGTGTTTTCCTTGAATTGTGCAAGGTTGACTTGGGGGTAAGCTGCTTGCCTCAGGTGACTGCGCTGCCCGCTGAATTACAGTGATCACTGTGGGTTTCATCTGGCTGGCGCTCTCTGCAGTGGCCTTCCGCACAGGGTTAACAAGTGGAAGGTAACCAGACATGGAAAGGTAAGTTCTCCATCGCACACACAGGCGATTGTTGACAGTGAACTCTTGCCTCCAGTACTTACCATAAGGCCCCATAAAGGATACAGTTGTAAAATGCCCTTGGAATTAAATTCCAGAATCTGTAATTTAGGGATAATTTCAACATAATAGTAGTTATTAGTCTAAGTCCTGATATTTAGATTATCCTCTGCATGTGTCCTTAAAAAGTTAGATGACATGCTTTTACAGACCTCCGGTGAGTCTCGCCTGATTGTCACCCCCGTTCCGACTCTTATCTTCCTTTTCCTGGTTCGGAGGTTTTATTCAAAGTGAAAGAAGTTTCTCTGGCTACACTTCAAAATGACAGCTTAATTCTTTACCAAGCTTTTTTCTCCTTCCTTGGGACATCAAAACTGACCTTGTTGTTGGTGTACCACCAAAGAGACCATTTATTTTATTTTACTTTGTATTTACATATGATTCAAATTAGTTCCTTCCTTCCTCTTTCTCTTGTATCTGTCAAGGCTGGAAGACTGGTTTTCAACTCTCTAGCATTATGATGACCTTAAACTCGTAACTGTGCAATTAGATTAGAAAACTAACCTTTAAATAATTTTTAGATTGATGACAAGTGCATAATAAGCATGCAGACATTTGAGCTTTAGCAAAATCTTCCTTTGAAGTTTCATTTTAAAGCTGTACATATATTTTATCATTACACATAATTTAATGAAGTATGATGTGGAATGTATAAAATATGCTTCCAGGGGAGAACATTAACATATTTCTAATATGTATGCATCTGGTGCATACATATGGAAGATACATAACACACTTTATTTATATTACTAACTGTATACAGTCACATTGCATGATATTATTTCTATTTTAGAAGCAAAATCTTGAGCTGGGAGATTTGAGTAAATGCCAACAGTAAATATGTTCCATAACTCTTTTCCAAGCTTTAAAAATCAACCTATTAAATACTTTATTAAAGAACTGTGCTTTTGAAATATAATTTGATTAGAGGTGATCATTTATCCCACAGAAATGACATTAAACAAAAAAATGCCTTGAAAACTGACAGAATACAACCAAGCTAAGAGGAAATTATGTTTCATTTTTCTGGTTTAGAAATCAGAGAATGCAACTTTATTTTGCTTTTTATGAGAGAATGTGTTTGTGTGTGTGATTTTCCTTAAGGGAGGGTCATGATAAAATCCTGTACAACAGTATAAAAGAAGATATCTCATTTCTCGTGGGGCTTCAAAGGAATTTCTTATAAGATTTATTAGCATGTAAATGATACAGGACAGACAAAATTTCCACAGATGTATCAAATGGGTCATGAACTATTAAGAAATGAACTAAAAGGGATGTAGTGATAAGGAAAAAAGAAGCAATACAAATGAAATTAACCAAGGAAATGTCCAATAAGAGCAACAAAATCAACAGAGAGACATATATTTGGACACAGTGGGAGGGTCATATGCTTTCAGTAAACAGTCCCTGACTTTTTTATAATGTCATTTTGTTTTAGTTAATGACAAGCTCCCTTTGATAATGACAGATAACTAGCTGTTTATTCCTTCTGACTGCAGTATAACTATTTAGAGTCCCTTTGCTCTGGAATACTGTGGAGTCATAAATAATATTAGACTGAGGCTTAACCATTTTCATATTTAAGACCAAATATCAGATCTCCATTTTATAAAAATAAAGCCCTGCTGTCCTCTTTGTTGTAATTGAGCCTTAAAGATATTTTTTTCTTTGGTTTGGATAAAAGAAGTTTAGCTGTGTGTGTAATTAGGAATACCAATCTTCATGGAGGGCAGAAACAGCCTTGTGACCTGACACAGCTTTGTTTTGTTGAAATTTCTGTCCTAAGAAGTATATATTGTTTCTGGTAGAGGAATTTCATCATTGTTAATACACAAATCTTATAAAATGGGTCAGAGTGAAAACAAATTATTACAATTCAGGAAAAATGGGCAGCAAACCAGAGATGCTATTTTTTTTAAGGGTAACTTCCATTCATCTATCCTTTTACTAAAATTTATGAGGGAAAATGTTAGAATATCTTCATAGAGACAAAATCAAAATAATAACAAAATTCACATATGTAAAATGAGTGATATTTACTATATGCTTACCTACATGGCAATCAATATTTGACAAAAATATTTCTGAATGAATATCAAGTAAGTCAGTAAGTCATGAAGAAAATGCAGCCATTTTATCTCAGTTACAGCCAAATGGAATAAACCTCAGTTGAGGGCCTAGAGTGTTCTGGGACTTTTTAAACATTATGTCGTTTATTCTTCAAAATTATCCTATTAGTCAGGTATTTCTTTTTTAATTACATGCAAGGAGACATGGAAAAGAAAGGTTAAATAACATGCATTATGTCCCAAGTATTACAAGGAAACTGGGGGGGGGTCTGTCCTAGGTCTGTGGGAACCAATAGCTTGTGCTATATCCTCTCTCAAACATTTTGCAGATGAGTACAATTTAGCAATGAAAAAGTGTTTTCTTCAGAGAAATATACAAGCATCTAAAACATGATGCTAAGTGAAAGAAGCCAGACACAAAACAGTCATATATTGTATGATCCCATTTACCTGAAATATCCAGAGTAAGTCAATCTATACAGACAGAACTCAGATCGGTGGCTGGTTAGGGCGTGAGGGGGAGGCACAGGGGAGTCACTACCTGAAGGGTTTGGGTTTTTGGAGTAACAGGAAGGCTTTGAGACTAGGTAGGGATGGTGGTTGTCAAATATTGTGAATGTACTAAAAGCTACTTAATTGTCCCTTTAAATAGTTAATTTTATGTTGTGTGAATTTCATCTCAATAAATCATTTCAAAAAATAAAATATATACTGATGACAAAGTATGTTACATTCTAGTTCTACTATTCTGACAGTTAATTCAGTCCTATAACATAATCCTTGCCTTCCTCTGCACATCCACATACCCAAAGCTAATGTCCTGCATGAAGTTTTTCACAATAGACCAAATAGAATGGAAGATAAATACAGGCTCCAAAAATGTCCCATATGGGAGTCACTGATTCGTATCTGTGTCTTCAATATTTCAGTATCTAGCATAATACCTGGCACAATACTCTAGCAAAGTTTGGAGAATTCATTGACTAGAATCAATATAAATAAATAGTTACAAATTTTTATAGAAACACATTTCACAGTTTTGCCAAATATTTCAGCAATCCTGGTTCAATAGCACATTTCTAAGCTTAGCGAAAGATATATTCCTATAAACTTCAAAGATAGGAGAAGAAAGAAGGTAAATTGTATTAAAATTTTAAATACAGCTCTTTGATAAAAGTTGAGTTGTTTGGCGCCATCCATCACGTAATAGGCCACTTTATTGCTACACATGGGTTATTTACACAATAGTTAATCTCAGTCAATGATGCCTTTTTATTTTAAATAGCTCTATAAACATCAAGCTATTTTGTTATATATAATCAGCTACACTTTGCTACTTGATTAAAAATGAGATTTCATCTTTCACTGGATGACACTTTAATGAAGAAAAAGAGAACATTGTTGTCTATAGTTCCTTGCGGATGCCAAGACCTTGGCAAAATGAGCAGTCAGGAGAAGTTCCAAATGGAGAAAAGCATTACTCCACTATCTTAGG